TACCTGATATCTTCCAATAAAAGTCAAGAAAATAAACCCTTGACTCCAGCGACAGAATTCTCTGAAAGGTATCCAGTCTACTAAAATTCCTGTTAAGTAAAATTTTTAACTCAGAAGTTTCATTTAAATACATGAGCAATGACTTTAAAGAGAGTAACTATTACATTATAACTAACTCATAAGAAAGTAAAATGCAGATAAGCACAGGGTAGTTTGCTGTATTATGTAGTGTTATATACATTCTTATATACTCTACTTATACATTCATAAGACTTTAAATGTAAAAGACCAATAATTTTCCTGATCCAGAATAACTCCACCCACATCCTTAGCCACAACATATTTATTTCAATCAATTTAAACGTAAAATCCCAGTCTATTTCTCCATGCAACGAATGAAGTTACATCTTTCTGTTTGTTTGTTTGTTTGTTTGCAGACTGGCATTAGAGCAATCATGATGCATCAAAGCGATGCCAAGCTGAATCAAGTCTCTGTGTTTATTTGTGACCCAGCTAGATAATCTCTGACCTGCTTTCTGCCACTGGATGTATTTCCATTGGATCTACTTATCTCCCTGTGAGCTGTCCTGTACCATAAAGAAACTCTTAAATTAGCTGAGAGAGAAGAAAAGTGCCTTTAAATGTCAAAATGTTAACGGGTTGATGCAGGAATTGCTGTTGTCAGATTTTAGCAGAGCAGTTTCATTTCTGTCAGTCTTGTCAGTTTATTTTCCTCTCAGTCGGCAGTTTTTCTCCTTAATGTGTGGCACAAGTTGCTCAACATATTTACTCTGCGTGTTTGAGGCAATATTAAGGGTGGGATTGTTTCCATTTGGACCATTACGGTTCTGGTTCCAGTTCTGGATCCTGGTTTTGATACCAATTACTATTGATTCTCGATTCCAATTCTTTTAAGAAAATAAATCATTAAAGTTTACATAATATAACTTAGCTGCAGCTAACCAGAGGAGTTATCTCTGGGTGAAATAGTCTGAACTTCCCATTTAAATCTTTATTCCTTGAACATCTTAGAGAGAAAAAAACGATTTTCAGGACCTACATAAATCCCTCAGTAAAAGCCCAATCCTGCACAGCCTTGGTTTTGGAAAGCCTTTATTCTACAGATAGATGCATTAGAGAGGGGATTGGTTGCAGTATTTCTGTAGGATCAGTCTGGACATTGTCATCCGGTGACTTTTATCAGCCACATTTGTTCCCAAGGGAAGTAAAATATTCAGTAGTTGAAAAAGAGGCCTGGCTATTAATTGGACCCTGGATTTCTTAAAGTATTACCTTCTCAGATGGGAGTTCACATTGGAAACAGACATTAGGGCTCATCAATAGATAGAAAGGATGGACACAAATGGGAGGATCACATTGAGGTACCTGGCAAATCAGATATTCCAATTCACTGGAAAGGATTAGTGCCCTGCAGACTGTCTCTCCTGCTGTTACAGCAAGATGTCTGAAGAGAGAGAGGAACTTATTGCTGCAGTGACAGTCATACAATCTGGGTAATATTTATACGACTGCTGCGCTACAGAATGACAGATATTACTACACTTGCATTTTACTTTCTTTATAGTATTTTTGCTTACAGATCAATAAACAGAACAGTTTTGGTCTGAGATAAATTAATGTATACAATATCATCACACTGTATGCTGAAATTGTAGACATTTTACTTTACCCTGTTAAGTTAATGGATTGTTTTTGATTAGTTTCTGTGTTTGTGACACCTTTGCGTGTAATTTGGGGCTGTTCTGTTACAGTTTCTCATCTGGTAGTTCTGTCTCGCCCTGAATACCACACACATTATACCTTCTATCCCTTCACTTTTCATGGGGTCAACATAAGAGCAATATCCAGGGTAGGACAGGGCTGGAGCTAGATGAGGCCAGGGGTGGCCATGGCCCCCCTTATTCAATCATTGGCCACCCCTACCATTTATTTCCCTCTAATACAGATGGTGGCAAGAGTAATAATCTGAAGTGGAATATTCAAAACATTTTCATTTTTCATATATTAACAATTACTTATTATATTTTAACAAAAACACTGTGGTTAATTATGCACATCAATATACTAACATTAAAGATAATAAGTACAGAATTCAAGCAGAAATAGATTTTGTGTTTTATGGGGTAAAGAGAAAATGATTTGTCTCTGCAAGTCATCTAGGAGTCTTCAGTGAAATAGATTAATAAATATTTTAATAAAAACTTTTAAAAAATCAATTTATGTGGATATTTGTACTTGTAAATATCAATTTTATGCAGAATGATTATTGATAAAAGTAGGTGAGTAATGACAATGGAAAAGATGTTTGCTCAAAACTCAAACCTGAAACAATTTTATCGACTATACCTTTTATTTAGAAAGCACGGATAGATAGAAGGATAGTTTGTCTTTACTTAGAAAATATGGATGTTTTGGAACAGTGTAGATTGACCATGAGGTTTTGGTGGCTATCTACTGTCGGCCACCCCGGTGTACATTGCTTATTGCCTGGCCACCCTTATAAAAAATTTCTGGCTATGCCTCTGTGGTAGGAAAGGAATTTCTATCTATCTATGTATATATATACTATATATATATATATATATATATATACACAATGTATATATATATATATATATATATATACATGTATATGTATGTGTGTGTATATACACATGGCCTTCACCATGGACAGGCTCCAGCCTTGTCCCGAGTTCCTCGTTTTCCTGCCACTTTGGTTCAAACTTGCATTTTTCCCATTCTCTAGCCTTTTCTCTGCCTCAAGCTTCTTTTTCGAAGCATTTTAATGCCACAATTATCAAATTTAATGAATTTTAATGCCAATTAAGGCCTTAATAAAAAAAAAAAAATAATTTAATGACCCGCAGTAACCCTGTAATACTTTAAAGAAATTCTAATGATGGTCTGCACTGGAACATACATAGTAACCTTTGGGTCTATTTCATTCTTCTTCTTTACAAATTCTGTTTTAATAATTATTCAAAAACAATAAGGTGATAGCTTCAGTGGTATTGAGAAAATAACCCAGTTTTTATCTGCTAAATGTTTTTTTTTTCACACAACAAATTGAAAAAAAAATGCTCTAATTTTTACAGATGAATGTAACAGTTTTTCATGAATTCTAATCTAAATGTGATAGAAAACGGTACTTTTAACTTAAATTAAGTCAAAAATATTTAAAATTCCTAAATTATAAATGTATATGGACCTCATAAGAAATGGGATTTTTATTGAACCTAATTGAAAATAAATTTCACTTCAGCTCTCTTAATATAATATATTTCATGCTTTTCTGGGCCCCCATGAAAAAACACCCTGGCCCCCTCCTGGCCCCCTGGTACATTTGGTCTAGATCCGCCACTGAGTGTAAATCAGAAGTAATCAGGCAACAATTACTTAGTGTTATGAGTAAAATACTCAGTATTTTTACAAATACTTTTTGTTCTNAGATAGATAGATAGATAGATAGATAGATAGATAGATAGATAGATAGATAGATAGATAGATAGATAGATAGATAGATAGATAGATAGATTAAATGTGCATTTTTTATGACTGAGGGACGCAGGTGGTTCACAAAATGAAAGAACCCCCAAGAGTTGAAGCAAAACCCTTTTCCATCTGCCTGCAGTTGTTGCTCTTAATCTTATCAAAACAACACAGAGAACATGTCACATGCATTGTCTTTATTATGAATGTGTTGCAGAATATATTTAATGTGCCAACCTTTCTTTGTAGGTTATCACCATCATACATGAATAAAAATTCATAACATGCTAATAGCTGCAAAGATTATAGAGGCCTTCTGGAAATACAACGATTACCAGGAGGCTGGCTAAATAATTCTAACTCATTTTAACGTTTTAACTAGAGAGATATTACACTACTGATATATATATCTGTAGAATACATACAGTTGATTACAATTAAACTTATAAGGGGCTGCAATAATAGTAGAGAAAAACAAGGATGCAGCAAAAGAAAATTATACCTGGTCTTAAATAAAACCCATTTGTTGGAATTACAATGAGAAATCACAGGTAGAATAATGTTAAGAGATATTTGAAGACACAAGAGATATTATAACAAAGAAGGCTCTACAGCTACATTTCTCACCCACATAAATATATTAGAAATTAACCTTTAAGGATTCTCATTTGTACACAGAAATAGAAGGACTTTAAACATAAAGGTGTAAGCACATTTAGGTAAAAAATAATGAGCTATTAGGGGCTTAATTAAGGGACAAGAACACTACCTAGAGTCTGATTTTAAAGCACCTGTGGATAGAAACTGAGGTTACAGCTGCATCTCTGACAGCAATAACAAGCAATCAGATTTGTTAACCAAATATTGATGCCCACACAAACACACGGACATAGTTCAGCTTTCAATTGAGGCTCTGGAGGCTATAAGGGCATCGCAATCATGTCTGAAAAGGACTTTTTACAAACTTTATAAAAAGGTTGGTTATAGATGATTCAGTTAGACTTGGATTTTGCTACATTAGAGTTTTCCATTCAGACCAACCCATATTCCCAGGTCACAGTGGTCAGTGGTGTAGAGCAGGTACACAGTGAAGTAGCAGAGGAGTGAAAACGTATTTCATGCTCCTGTCAAGAGTTTTGTGTTCATAAAAAAAAAACAAGCTTTCCTTCTGAACTTCTTTTATTTGGCACATATTTTCCTCGCAGTGACGACTGTGCCTTCTGTGGGAGACTTTTCATAATCCTTCCCGATTCATCTCCCCCAGCTAGTCCGAGCTTAAACCATCCCTCCCCCTCCTTCTTTGATCCTCTTTTACCACCCGTATGCTCAGTCTCATACACAGAATTGAAGCTCTGAAAGTCATAGAGGACAGTCTGAAACAAAGAGGACACAGTGCTGTTCAGAGTGTTTCCTCTCTGACGAGTGATGGGTGAAGTTCTCCAGTCTGAATCCACTGCAGTGTAAATCCTGCAGCCTCTCCGTGTGTCTGAGGGGATTTAACAGGCGAGCTGGTGCTTCTTGTCGGTGCAGTGGAGGGTGGACTTGGCAGGCATTTTGTTGGGATTGATGCTGTAGAGCCAGTAAACATTTCTACTGGCTTCCCTGTTTTAAGTAGTCGCAGGCTTAAAAAAACATTTGGAGTGTGTCGGCCAGGAGAGAAAGGGACTCATTAGTCTCCATTTGTGATCAGACAGACCACTAAATCCCCCAATTGAGGCCGAGAAGAGCAGCATTTGGTTTATTCTGGTTTCTTCCACAAAAATGAAGGGGTTGTTTACAGATTACAAAAACATAAGTAAAGCGCTGTGTAACAGGAGCATGTCTGTCACAGATCCGGGTAATGACTAGGCGGTAAAGGTGGTGCAGGTGCAGGTGCGGGCCAGACGTTCAGCTCTTATCCGGTTTCATCCTGGGATGAAACTCAGGTTTTCACATTTACTAAAAAAAGAGAAGGAAGCATATTAGTCAGAGCTATGAGTTCTGCAATGTAATCTGGATATATAAAATTTCAAAGACAAGAGGACAGTTACATAATGAGGGGAAAAACAAGGGTCCTGCTGATTCCCAAAGGTTCTACAACTCAAGTTGCATCTACAATCACTCCTCTCGTCATCGAGCTAATTAGAACACGGCTTGGTTTAATGAGACCCAACAGACTGAGACCGAGTACACTCAGAGGGGAGGATAAGAATCTGTTTAAACTGAACTTAAATGGGAAAAAAAATAGATGTATTTACTTAGCCTAATGGAAAATTAATTGTAGAACATTTATCTAAAGGTGAACTTTTTTGTCTGTTTTTTTTTTTTTCTATAAAACCACCATTGCCATTAATATTTTTCATGCCATGTATTAACTTTGAAGTAAATGTAACTGAACTTTTGTTCATGTAGTGTCATATTCAATAAGTTAGAATACCCCTTCCATTAAGGCTCGTTTGAAAAACGACCTTTAAGCAGATACTAAACACAGTTTTCATTAAGCCCACATTGAAAAGCTCTCTAATCTTAAAGCAGAGAATCATCCTAATTAACATGAGTAAAGGCTTAAAGCATCAGACTCTGTTCTACTCACTGAAATGGGCTACTTAAATAAAACAAAACTTATTAATAATATATAATTTGTTGAATATTAATACAAAAGGTACTTTATTTTTAAAGTTAGAGTGTGAAAGTATGATTTAACAAAGGCACTCCTCAAAATGAAAAAAAAAACAAAAACAAAATTTATGTAAAAAACAAAATTACATTTATCTTTCATCCCATTAAAATAATCTCCTCAGGAAAAATAATACGATTCAGTACTTATCTATTTTTAAGAAATAATTTAGTCTGGGGCTGAAACAATTAATTCGATTAATCGATTATTGAAATATAATTTAGTAATCGTTACTTGGAGTAGAGACTTAATCGTTCCTTTACCTGACAGAGTAATCCACTTATAGCAGTAATTATATCAAAATGTTAAATGTATATACAGTATATATATATATATATATATATATACATATTTTGGTTTTAAAACTAAAAATGAAGTTTTCCTCTGTCAATGTGCTCTATTAAGAACTCCCCAAGTGGAAAAGTATTAGTTTACCTGGTTTATTTTGTAAAGAAATTTACATTTAATAATTAGAGAGCCAAAGCTCTCTAATTATTAAATGATTAATCGGAAAAACAATCAACAGATTTATCGATTTGCAAAGAAATTGTTGGCTGCAGCCCTTATTTTCTACAGTATCAATATAAGGACACTATTCAAACTGAAAAAGACAAATATATCACAAAAAAATTGAAAGCATGAAATATAAAACCAAATAACCATATAAAATAACTAACAGCGATAGTGCTAATCTTCCCATTTATTTCTCATATTTACTACTCTTCCATTTTGACAAGGGAATAACGTTGGTAACCTGGTTTCTGTTAGTAATATTTACCCCAGCAGGGTAACAGGAAGTTCCGATTTATTGAAAGGTAAACATAAAAAAGGTTAAGGTTGCATTAAGGGTTGCATTACCCTTTAACTTTGTGAATCTATTATTTTGCATTTCTCTCACCACTAAATCAGTGTTCTCAGATTAAAGCTTGAACAACGTTGCTGCAATAAAATAAAGGCTTTTCAAACATCTTTACCAGGGTTGAGTGTTTACCTTAACTTAGCAAGAAAGCACAAAGCTCCACACTAAGGAAGTGACTAAAACGATCACTAATCTGTTCTCAGAATCTTTTTATTTGAAAGTTACAATAAATGCACATTCGTTCGTACTGTGAGCCGTTCAATAACTCACACACTGTCGTACATAGTTTACATACAGGAACAAGACTTCACATTTGGTACAAGCAAACAGGACAAGGAATAAACAGACAATGAAGTACACTGATCAATCTACAGGCATACTGAGGCATGCAGTACAGCTGCACATGTGAATGCATGCATCCTCTGGAAAAGGAGCCATAATGAGCAAACAGATTGTAGCGATACTAGAGATCAAGACCACATTAAGCTCTATATCATTGGATATAGATTAAAGCGGAATAAATAGGTCAGAGGAGAGTTCAGAGAAGTAGGTCAGCTGTGCACAGATACACAGGGGAGTAAAGAGGTGTAGTAAGGGGTTAAAGGTCAGATTTGGGACACTCACTGGCCAGGTTGACAATGCAGGCGATGATTATAACCGTCCCTCCTACTAGTGACACCATGGACAGCATCTTGGCAACACGTCCGAGACGAACGGCGCCATCCAGGTTTCCCTGCTCGAGGCTGTTCTTGGACTGAGGGAGGAAATAAACCTCTTTGTTAGATTCTTTTCACCTGACACGGGTTAGTCCCCAACTTGGACAACGTCCCTTCTTACCATGATTGAGTAGACGAAGCCAACGATGTTAATGGGCCACACAGGACAGAAACAGGCCAGCACGGAGAGTAGGAGGTAGTCTTTGACCTTGGTCCGGTCCAGCGGAGGGTTGGTGGCGATGCTGGAGTGGCGAGAAAGTGAGGGCCTGGGCGAAAAGGCAGTGTACCCAATGGAGCTTGCCCTACTGCCCTTTCTGGTTTTGCCGTGATGAGGGTAGGAGACTGAGTGCTGTCTTCTGGGAGGAGAGGAAATGACTGGAGAGGTGCTCTCTGCCGTTCCCGGGTGGATCCCGTTACCTGCACGTGAAATATGCCAAGGACAAGCAGAAAGTCAGCATATGTGTACTGGGCTGTGTGTATGTATTTGGTCTCTTGGGTGCTATTCCACGTAGAGATATTTGACTTTGCCTGAGCTTGCTGAGTATGCAGAAGCAAATGACCCAATCTCCAACCAATGCCACAGTATGAGGTCAAACTTACCGTTCTTCAGTTTCTCGTTGATGACGATCACCAGTTCTCCTTTGGATTTGCTGCGGGGAGGCCTCATGTCGGTTGGGCTGCTACAGCTGTGCAGGAGTTCTTCACCCACCGGTAACCCGCATGGTACAGAGATGGCATCCGGACTTGAAATGGGGCCGTCCTGATCCATTAGCGATGGTTGTTCTTCTCCCGACCAAACGGCAGGAGCTGGATTCATATTAACAGCCATGCTGACAACAAAGTTATGCCTCTGATTGGAGTCAATCCTGTTTGTGCTGCCTGTAGTTAAACCTGCAAGAGCAGAAAGCAGTTTTAATTAAGAGTTTAAAATGGAATATTTGCTGGAATGCAAATAAAAATAATTGCTTAAAATACACTTAAAAATTTGAATCCATAACCAGAACCCATTCAGGAACAATTCTACACTTTTGGAACAACAGCTAGAGTTTTAATCCAAATCTTATCTGAAGATAAAGTAAAACCTAGTTGTATTACAGTGCCTAAAAATGAATAGTTGGAAATGGTTGCTGTATAGAAAATTTTAAAGCCACAATCTTTAAAGCGATTGCTTAACTATGTTCATTTAATCTTCCTTTCTAGCATCCTATGGGAGGAAGCTATGCTTTAATTTTGGTTAACTTCAAGTATTTTTATGCATACATCTTAATGCATTTGGCTGAAATAAAGATTATTGCATGAAATGCCAAAAAATATTAAACTTGGCAAAAAGGTAAGGGCCAAGAACCTGAGACCTTGTGGCTTGTAATATCTTTGACTGAAAAATATGGAATTTTTTATTCATGTTTTGATGAAAGTTTTGCACAGCAGAGTGTAAGTAATTGAAATATTAATAATGTATATTCACTAAATATTGTTTGTCGTTAGGCATGCTTTACAATAAGAATCAAATTTCTTTGAGATCTTTGATAAATAAAATACAGCAAGTCACCATTTAAAGAGCTTGAGGCAGTCTGATAGTTCAGCTTGTTGCACAAGTTGTTTTTATTTGTCCATAAAACCCCAAAATACAAGCAAAATTTAAAAATCCGGAAACCCATTTTACAAGGGAAATTTTTTGTAGTTGGTATGTATATAACTTGAGACTTCTTGTGTTAGGTTCTAAGGAAATTTCATTTAGTACAAAGGAAAAAAATGGGACTTTGAATAAAATATGAGCAGGCTGACCACCAACAAGCATGAAAAAAACACACCCTGTCAAACTGATATCAAAATATGATAAAGGTGATTATAATGAGATTATTTAAAGGCATATTAGTGGCTAGCTGCAAACTAAGAGTGAATAAGGTCAATGGATGGTCCAAAACCACTGTCCAAAATCAGATCAGCAGCAGTAAATTTCTCCACTGTGAGATCAATAAAGACAATCAATCAATCAAGCAGAAATGGGGCACTTAACATAGCCATATTGTGCAATTCCCATTTCTGGGGTAAAGGATTTTAATGAACTTCTGATTCAATATATCAAATATTCTTTCAGCTATCTCTAAGAAATTCTATCTGGTTTGGTAAATGCCTTTTACTATACACCAAATTACACTATTATTTGGCTTTGTACTCAAGAAAAAAATGCAAAAGGATTTCATAATGGTGAAGTTAAAAAAGGAATCAAATAACAGACCATAAAGAACCATATTCATTTTAACATGACTGCTGATGGAAGTAACCTTGGTTATTGTAGCTCAGGAATTAAAATAATATGAAAACCAAGCTGATAAGCCATTTGTTTTGCTGATAAGCTAAAGGTATAATGGAGGGTTTTTTTTTTTTTTTTTTTTTACAAATTTCAGAAAAAAACAGCCCTCTCCACTTTTAAAATTTTTTTCACATGCACGACTTTAAAACCACTCCTGAGAGAAAAAGCCTATTAAACGCATGCAAGAGCATGCACAAGCCCATTTCTCCTGTTTAAAAGTTGCTGTTTGCATTGATCATACAAAAGAAGATATGCAATTTTTCCACGATGTCAGACTCACCACTGGTAAGTGAAAATGGGGACGAGCACGTAGGACGGCCTTAAGTAAAGATATCAGCAGAATGATTGACAGCTAGGAAGATCACTTATTTTGATGATATATCGGGAAAAAGGACATTCTCCACAAGACCATTAAGATCAAAGTAATAAAACAACTTGTGTGTTCAAACATAAAAAATAAAGTCAAAGATAAATGTTGTGCAGAACAATGTGATATTGGAGTTAATGCAGTAATAAACCTGTTCTGTCAGACATTGGCATACATTGTTCTAATAAGCATGCACGCACATGTGCAACAGATAGTTGTTCCCACATTGATTTCTAGCAGCAGATTACTGACCAATAAAAACAGGTTTATTTTAACTTCTAAAAAAGCAAATCAGCTTGATTATACTGTTATTTCTTGGAAATAGAAACGGCCAGACATGATTGAAGAAGCTTCTATAGCTAAAACCACATTAATCAATATTAATTTAAATAAGTTACTTTAGTAAAAAAAACAAGAATTTAAATTGGGTTAGATGTCGTTTTCAAGTTTAAAATAATAGAAAACATTCCAAAAAAAAAAAAAAATAGAATTTAAAACAATTGATTGGACTTTGTTTCAAAGTTTGAAGACGTTTTGCTTCCCATCCAGGAAGCTTTTTTTTTTAATTATTTTTTTTATTTACAGCATTAGTGGCTGATTTTTCTGACAGGATACGGGGATTCGAACCCCAGTGGGCAGCGTCGAGAACTAAGGCCTCCACAGATGGGTCTTGCGCACTAACCACTGCACCACCTGCACACCCGTCCTGGAAGGTTCCACCCATTTAAAATGGGTGGACCCCTTCGTCTGTTCCAATTTGCGCACATGTGCAACAGATAATTGTCCCCAATTCAGGAAGCTTTTTCAATGATGAATTGAAATAGCTTCCTGGATGGGAAGCAAAACGTCTTCCAACCTGAAAAAAAAGTCCAGTGGATTTTTTTTTTTTATCTTCTTTTTTTTTGGAATGGCCATGACCTCGATGACTAAGAACCCTCACCAGCACATAGAAAACATTGGCTGTGGTTTATATTCATTTTGGTTAGATGAAAACCTAAGCGTATGTCGATCTGACAGACAACAATGTGCACATAGTCTGCCTTTTAGCATATAGCTTAGCCGCAATGCTACCAATAGCTGGTATGTAAAATGGATAAAAGCTAAATGTTTTTAATCTATGTTCCAGTTTCTACTTCTCTAGGAAAACAAAAAAAGCTGTTCACAATGCCTGTTAATGATAGGTTTACTCTAGAGTTCCTGAAATGTAGCAATCTAAGGGGAGTTAGAAGGCTTCCCACCCCAACAGCTGTGTGTCCACAGAGGCTCCAACCTCATTGCAGAATAACACTGAAAATGCTTTTATTAAAGTAGTAATTGCAAACCAATTTGTTTCATAACAATTTTACATATTAAACATTTGCTGCATTGGTTAAATAAGGAACTAGAGTGATTATGTGACTTTATTTACTGCAAAAGTAGCTCCCAGCTGTTTACATGCAATGCTTGTTCAAAAGTCTCAGCAGGCTATTTACTTTGACGCGTGTCTTTGCATTGTCCTCCACAGCTCTCTGCTCATATCAGCATTGATTCCACTCAGCGCTGCCCTGAATTCTGTGCTGCTGTTGTCATGGTCTGTTGTGTCAACTGGACACAAAAGGCACACTTCCTCTGAGATGAGACTAGAAGCATATTTTGATTAAGATTTTTTTGGTTTCTGAAAGCCGTTGGGATTTACCAGCAAAACATATCCCGAAACCATGGGAACCAAGTTTAAAATGAATGATGTAAACTTCTTTTGTTGGACATTTAAATTTGTATTTCTATTTTAGCACTGCCCTAAACCTTCCACATCAATGCCCTTTTGCACCATGTCTCTCTTAAGCTGTTTACATTTTGCAACGTGTATCTCCTACTCTGTTTATGTTTTGCACTCTCTCCTACTCCGTTTATGTTTCGCACTGTCTCTCCTACGCCGTTTACGTTTCGCACCGTGTCTCTTCTATGCCATTTACTTTTTGCACCGTGTCTCTCCTACGCCGTTTACATTTTGCACCGTGTCTCTCCTACGCCGTTTACATTTTGCACCGTGTCTCTCCTACGCCGTTTACGTTTCGCACCGTGTCTCTCCTATGCCGTTTACGTTTCGCACCGGGTCTCTCCTACGCCGTTTACGTTTCGCACCGTGTCTCTACTACGTCGTTTACGTTTCACAACGTGTCTCTCCTACGCCGTTTATGTTTTGCACCGTGTCTCTCCTACTCCGTTTATGTTTTGCAACGTCTCTCTCCTACGGCTTTTACGTTTCACAACGTGTCTCTCCTACGCCGTTTACGTTTTGCACCGTGTCTCTCCTATGCCGTTTACGTTTCGCACCGTGTCTCTACTACGTCGTTTACGTTTCACAACGTGTCTCTCCTACGCCGTTTACGTTTCGCAACGTGTCTCTCCTATGCCGTTTATGTTTTGCAACGTCTCTCTCCTACGGCATTTACGTTTCACAACGTGTCTCTCCTACGCCGTTTACGTTTTGCACCGTGTCTCTCCTACGCCGTTTATGTTTTGCAACGTTTCTCTCCTACGCCGTTTAAGTTCTGCACCGTTTCTCTTCTAAGCCGTTTACTTTTTGCACCGTCTCTTCTAAGCCGTTTGCACCATGTCTCTATTTCTCCGTTTACGTTTTGCAGTGTCTCTCCTACTCAGTGTACGTTTTGCAATGGGTCTCTCCTATGCCATTTACATTTATCACAGACTATATACAAAATGACAAAGTTTGTCCAGGTCTAAAATAAATAGTGACATTAAAGTTGATGTCGCACAGCTTCTACCAGTCAGTTAAATAACATGCTGCTGTCCTTTTGCAAATCTCTGATACATTTTTCAAATATCCATTACTGTAAAAATGTCCATAGCTGTATATTGGTTATTTATTCTCCAGTCGCAGGTTTACATTGTTAAAACACTTTACAGTACAGTATTTTATCATTTGTCTTTCAACTCTTCGCTATTAAGTTATTCTTATGCATTTTTCTATAAACTTTTTGCTGCTGTAAACACCAGAATGTTCCCAATGTGGGACAATAAGGAGAGTTTCTTTTGTATTCTAAAATGTAGGGTACCTTTTTTAACCTTTTGTGGGTTTATGAATATATTAAGGGGGAAGTTTTTAAAATGGATTGAATGCATTTAGTCTACTTCATTTTTTTGGATAATTCAGGCTGAAAAATATATGTACAGTTGACATATTTTACAAGTCCATCGACATGGAGCTGTGTGTGTGTGTGTGTGTGGGCCACTGGTCACATTTAATCAAAACATTCTCAGTGTATTTACAATTTAAAGGTAAAACCAAGAATGAAATACTGCAGATGCTTTGTAAGCATAAAAAATGCACCATTGATTAATTATAAATAAGGCCTGAAAAGTGCTCAGGAGTCATTAGTGTAGCCTGGTTTGCTGAAATGAGAAGAAAGCGGGTCACAAAGGCAGAGCAGATGGAGGCAGCTTTCTTTGATATCATTGCAGCCGCCATAGACCGTGTGCAGGTGTGCACACAACTGCAAACCACCATATGGTGTCAGGTATAAAAGCAACGGGAAAAAACGGTGAAGGACAAAAGGAAAACACTAATAGAGGCAGGGAGCGTGCTCGTTAATTAGCTCTGCTTTGTTTTTTTTTTAGTGGATGGAGCTTAAATGCAAAGAAAAACACGCACACAGTTCAATGCATGTATAAAACCTTGAATGCAATAAACAAACTGACCTTTTTATTGCAACGCCTGCCTCATTAGAGCCGGGTTGCCCCTGGATTCGGCATCGTGGGAGCGAAATTCTCAGATGGAGGCGAAACCAAAATAATCACACGCAAAGAAACATCTCAAAGAAACCTTTTTTTTTCCTTCCACTAGGCTTTTTATTCTACGAGCAGATTGTTGTAAATCGTGTTGCGTGTAGATCGTCGCTGAGGCGCAGTGAGATGCGATGGATGGAGTCTCCAGGATGGCAGGGTGGATCCGGGAGGAGGGGTGTGTTTGTGTGAAAGGAAAAGTGAAATCCACCAGAGGGAGGAGGTGAGGGGGGGGTTATGGCATCATCCTCACTGCAAACCCAAGGACAGAATATATATATATATATATATATATTTTGAAGTTCTTTACAGAGGAGACATCAGCTCAGAATAAAATGGAAGATGAAAGCATCCCAGAGGATGGTTGATCAGGGAGAGGAAACATGGACCTGCATGAGAGACGTGACTACTCTATGAAATAAACACACACACCTTGAGTTCATGAGAGGTTTATTAAAATATGTTCGTGTGCCACCAGCAGGAAAAAACATGTAACTACAAAAATATATAAAAGGAAAAAAAAAAAAAAAGAAGAAATATGTTTTGTCACAGAAATTATTTACAATAAAAAAGGCTGGTTGAAACATGTTAGAAAAAAAAAAAAAAATTATTTTCCAAGCGAACTCAGGATGTTTGTCTGCAAGAGAAGAGAATGATAATCCATTAGAATCTTAAGCAACACTACCATATATATTTGACTCAAGCAAATGTTTATGTCATTAAAAAATATATATATATTAAGTCAAATCTGATTAGTTAAACACAAATGAAACAATGACAAGGCCATTTATCAATTCTGGTAATTTAGAGTATAAATAACAGTTTTAAATACAAGTAAAAAACGAGTAACATTAAAAGAAAAACAAAAAAAAAAGTCATATTTTTCCCCTTTTCCAACAAGCTGCACACCTAATACTTTGAGTATGTTATGTATAAATGTGAGAACAGCTTCCTGTGACAATATTTTATCAGGTTTAGCAAAAAGAGAAAAAAACAATATCCACCAGATATGGAAACGCTAAATGTAGCGTTTCCATATCTGGTGGATTTTTTGTTTGATTCTTTCATTGAAGTAAACCAGAATCTGTCCTGAAGTTTCATTTAGAGTTAAAAAGTAGAAAAAAAATGGCCTTTCGAGAAAAAAAGAAAAAAAAAAAAAAAAATACTTATTCAATTCATATAATTGCAAATCTAAATCTTTAAAGCATGCTGATTTGGGAGATTGACGTGCAATGAGCCAATTCAGGGGTAGAAACACGCAGAGGATCAAAGTCTACATTTAAGACCTATAGAAAACTGACAGGAAGCCTAAAATAATAGATGTATAAAACTCAAAGCTACATAATTAGCCACAGTTTAATTTTAGAAGCATGACCTGGTTTTATCACTTGATAAGGAGTGGGAAACCCTCCAGTCATGCGGAGAATAAAAGCCACCCAAATGCTTCCCGTCAGTGCAGTTAGAGCAACCAATCAGCTTGGAGGAATGAAAGGAAAATTTTAAGCAAACAATCTGGTCAATGATGCTTAAAAAGCCAAGTCTGTCAGCAACTACAAGCTGCTGGTAACTGGGAGTGATTCATCCCAGCTGGTATGGTTTGCCTTTGGATTTACGAGTCAGGCTATGGGCCGTTTTCCCAAAAGCTTATAGAGGGATTCAACATTAGTCGGGAGCTGTTCTGATAGACAACATGTGACCAGACTAGCAGAGGTTCAACATGTCATTTAAGTTCACCAACTCCTAATAAGTGGGATTCCTTAAACCATGAGCAATAATATGTTTCTAATACAGAGATGATCTAGTGCAATGCAAATATATTACTTTGATATTTTCATCCTTCAAAGCAAAAAAAAAAAAAAAAAAGCAGAGCTTGATGATAAAGATGCATTAAACACACATTTTATTTCACATGTTAATCTTTGCATAATTAACATAGAATTACCTCTGCTGTTAGATAGAATGAAATTATATTCACAGGCCTCATAAACTAGTCTATTTATGGATCCTTTTATTAAAGGAGTGCCTAAATCATCAGATTATACATCCATCTTCAGCGTACAGTGACCAGACTCCAACACTGCTGTCAGTTAACCTACCTTCACGAAGGAAGAGAATCTCTTCTCAGACATACCCTCTATGTTCATCAGATCTTCCAACTGCAGAAAAACCATCGAGAGGCAAACCAAAAGCCAGTTTAGGTTCAATTTGTTTGAATAAAAACATGTCAGATTCTGGTTGTTTAAAAGCTCTCTCAAACCTTTATGAAAGGACCATTGATCTCCCTCCAGCCCAGAATGAGTTTGGCCTTCTTGTCACCGATCTGCTGCAGACCTTTCAGGTCTTTGAGGCAGCCCGTGTTCAGAATATGGAGGATTTTCTCTTTGGACTGATCCAGCACAGATTCATCAAGTTGGAACCCCATGGCGACCCCTTTTGGGTTCTCCTTACCATCTGGGAGCTAGCATAAAAAAAAAAAAAAAAATATAAACATGTATACATCTGTAACAATTCAAAGAGGACAAGGGGAAAAGTTGACCCATAAATCAGAGTCAGAGTGTGTGTGTGCTAGATAGAAAATGCCCTGCATCAGCTTGTATCTGATGCTTGCAACTCTGCAGATGTGTCAAGCTGAACTCGGCAGTCAGGGCTCAGATGCTGACCTCAACCAGGCCTGAAAGCTTCTTCTCTTTCTTAATGACGCAGACCGACTGTTTCTTGACTGGAAGCTGCTGAAGAGGCTGGCGCTGGGACACTGAAGGAAGGGAGAAGAGTTAGGATCCAATTCTTTCAGACACCGTGACCATCCCCCTCCTCTAATTCATGAAAAGGGTTTAAATGCTACCAGTTCTGCCAAAATTTAAGCTACACTTCCAGCCTGTAAAGTAAAATTGATTTAAAAGCAAGCAGGAGACCCGAGTTATCTGGGCTGCAGGCCATGATGCTGAGGAGGGTAAAAAAATAAAATCTTCCCTCCTCATCATCATCTGATCCGTCACTGGCAGCAGAATAGTAGATGTAATTCAGGTATCACATTGCAGCTCATCAGTACTTCTTGTAATTTCAAAATGGAGCCAAAAAAAAAAAAAAAAGAACAACAACAACAACAGATGTCTGACAGTTTGTCCCAATTACCTCCCTCTGATTGAAGGACATTTAAAGGTTAGAAAAATCTGATGAATTAACAAATTAACAACGTTTGCGATTCATTTTCCAATCTATTAAAATTCTGACTTCATAGAAAATCCAGGACGGTTGGAGCGGTTCCCTGACCTTGAAGAGGTTGGACCACGGCCTGCTGCTTAACGAGTTTCGTAACATTTGGCCGTTTCCTCTGCAGGGGAGCGGAAGTGTTGTCGAAGACTGGCTCCTCTGTGGAGCTCGACTTTTCCTTCGCCAACTGACTGAGCAGCAGGGCTTTCCTTTCAAACTCCATCTGTTTCTCTTTGAGCTCCTGCAACAACAACAAAAACAACAGAATCAGAACCTGAAGGACACATTATCCATCTTAATCTGATTACATTAAAACCAATGCTCAAGCTCTATTCTTCTAACATTTTGAATGTTTTTTCCCAGGGGTTACAAATCATGAAATGCTCCCTGCTAAAGCTAACCATGTACTGCCTCCAGGCCAATGGACCAAATCAACTGAAGATCAGCTCCTTGTGAAAGTCTGTACATATTAGAGGTGTGTCTTGCTAAAAATGTGGTGATACGATTTATAAATCCTGATAAGTGAACAATAGACTAATAGGCTCCGGGGCCGCATGCTGGCAAATAGCGGTTGGAGTTTAAGAATTATATAAATGTCGATAAAATGGATGGTTTCATATTTAAGATGGATTTAGACATGTTGTGGATCAATACCAATAAATATTGATATTTGAGAATCCATTTGTTCCCCTAATACATATATTACTGTGTCCAAACGCCCCCACTTACCCCTAGATTCCTCAATCGCTATATAGAGCGGGGGCTATATAGTGATCTCAGTTTACTGACCGCTCAGACAGATGGTCACTACTTTTTGCTCCCTGTTGGTCACATGACTGCCTCCCTACATGGTGCACGCCCCATCTTTGTTATTTGGCCCGCACAAATCCCATGATGCTTTGCGATGAGAGGTCTCCTTGCATTGCATTCTGGGATATATCAGCTCATCTAGTGACCATGATTCATAACCGCTTTTCAAGGTGCATTGTGGTAAATTTCAAGTCCACCACCCTTTCATCCAGTAGATGCTAACCCTATATAGGCACCCTATATAGGGGTTAGGGCATTGGACACATCCTTAGAACCTTTTGTGGTTTTTATTTTATTTGTTAGGATCAAAGCAGCTAGATTTACATGGAAATAAGCAATGGGGATCAGACCAAAAATGTCTTCTGGAAAGAAGAATATTCTACCTGAACTCTGCAGAATCAGAATAAAAAATGTAAGGTAAGGAGGGGGTTGTTTTATGCTGATCAACATGCATGTAAATAGTCGCCAGGATCAAGTTACTCTGAATGACACAAGCTGACCAATTACACATGTACATATATTTTCCCCCAAAGCAGATGAGTTTTGCTTTGCAACTGCGTCTCTCTTCCTGACAGACCCATAAAATTTACTGAGCGCCACAGCCTAGACTGACTATTTTCTGTTGGATAGAACGAGGGGAGAAAAAAAAAAAAAAAACAGATTTAATGTGTTCAGAGCTTTAAAATGAGCGGCTAACATCACCTGGATCTCTCTGCGTGACTCAGCCACATCTTGGAGGACACTCTGACCATCTCTGTCCTGGCAACTCATCATCCGCTTCTCCAGAGCTATCAGTCGCTCCATCACAGATAACTCTGTCAAACTGAAACAGAACCAAAGGCAGATAAGCGGGTAAATAATGGGGGAGAACTGATCTTGTGTTTCAAAACAAGTCAAAAGGTCAAACATCTGGGCTGAAAACAGATGGTTACAGAGCAGCAGCTCATCTTTCTCACAGCGAGGCCAGCAGCTAGAGCTGTGCATCAATTGGCTTTCAGAACAAGCTACCAGATCTTGGCTCACTCTGCTGATAAACCATGACTGGTGACATTTTACAAGAGCAAAAATCTCCTGATACACAAAACCAGCAAAAGGTTTAATCAAACTGGGAACTTTAACCTGTTGTAATTTGTAGAGTGAGAGGAACCATCCTGTTCAGGTTTCTTCTCATCTTTCTGCTTTTTCTTGTTTGGCTCAGTGCCAGAGCCTGCTGCTTCGTGCTCCTCTCTGGATCGCTTCACTGGAGGCAGAGAGAAAATGAACGGTTTAGTATTCAGTGCACTGACAGATGGGTGTTAGGATTCTCTGGGGTAAAGATGGCACAAGAAGGCTGTACTGCAGACCCCAATTTACAGACAGCAGCTTCTTCCTAAATAAGGAATCCAGTAAGAAAATACAAATGAGACAACTGTTAAAAAAAAAAAAAAAATCTAAAAGCTACTGATTTCTGCAGTTTGTCATAACCTGCAGGACAGCCCTGCCCTCTAGTGGTCACCGAATTAAAATCAGAGCTTCTTCTCTATGAGATCGATTCAATTAATCGGAAATTAACATGACTCACCTGGCAGCACAGGAACGGCCACAGTCTCTCTGGTAAAGGGCTTGTTCACAATGAGCTTCGATTTGGCTGCAAAGTTCAGTGCACTAAAGGTGTCGAAATAATATTTATACTCTGGTGCAATGTTTGTGATCATGACGGAGTGAGCCGAGCCACCCAGAGAGTCCTGGAGCAGGCGTGTCAGTTTACTGTCCCTGTAGGGGACGCGGACTGCTGTGCCAGAGTTGAGAGCGTCCACCACTTTGCTGAGCGTGAAGAGAGAAAGGTTGATGGCACCGCTCTCTTTCAGACGGATACCCTGGTTGCCGGTGCGGCGGTTATCCTCAGACCCAGCTAGGTCCACCAGGTACAGTTTCCCCGTCTGCTGTCGGTGAGGTAAAGACCTCTGAGTCCGAACCACCTGGAAGGAAAAGATCCAGATTTGAACAGCAACATTTAAAAAAATAAAAAAGGTCAGACAAGTTAAATAGGGTTGATTTTGCAGCAGAATTCTGGAACAGAGGAAACAAAATGCTTTTAAATTAAAGTTTGAGGAGTATCTTTGAAATGCCCCCAAGCCACTTCAAAGCAGCCTTTCCAGTTTTATTACAAAATAATTTAGAAATGTATCCAAATGTATGACATATTTTAAAGAAAAATGTCAAAATTCATAAGAAAAACATGCTTTATTAAACTGAAAGTCCGCTGCTATGATACCAATGAGGAAAAGATGAAAGAAAAAATCTTTTAGCAAATTAAGTTTTAAGAGCTACAAAAAAACAACAAAAGAAAACAGGAGGTAAAGAGTCTGTATCTCTCGAGTAGTAGTCCCAAAAAGCACAGTGGTTGCTAGTGGGACTGTTGCACAAGAGAATTGATTTTAGCACCAGCTACCAAATCCTGGTCTACTGCCCAGAGACCACGACCTGTTTAAGATGCTGTAGGATCAATTAGTCAATAAAAAATGGCAAAATAAAAGCTTTATGACAAGGGTCCGTTGTGGTGCAAATAATGTCAGACCTTGATGAGCAGAATAGCGTGACTGCGGCTGGATCGCTGGTTTAACTTGGTGGACGCTGTGGTGCGGTTCAGGGTTGCAGGAACAAATAGTTTCTCAAAATCAGAGAAAGAGGAGAGCGTCGTGTGGGTGAGACCAGGAATGAGGATGTTCTTGTCTTTGTCCTCTCTGATGGGCAAATCTGGGGAGTTTGGTGATAGAAGATCGAGAACCTGAGAGGATAGACAGTTATGATGAATTACATGGAGTTAAAACACTTGAAATGTAAAAGAATCTAGATCTGCGGTTACAAATAAGAAAAAAATATATATAGTGCATTTATTCTTGCAAACAATTTATGGAGTTGGTTCAGTGTCTTTAGAAGAAGGGTTACCCATTGGGGGGGATGACATTTCTGCATCTGCTGTTGGTTTACATTCCACTCTTTTGAACAGATACATAACTTTATATAATTTCATTTTTTTTTTTTAAAGACAAAAGCACACCTCAGAAGGGAAATATACGATACAGCGGAATTCAAAGAAGAAAACAAAAAAAAGAACTGAACTGCACATTAATACTTTTTCCTTCTTAAAAAGGTTTTCCATATTAAACATGTTAACCTAAAGGAAGGTTTCAGTGTGAATACTTTCACACGTCATCTGCATGAGAGTCTGCTAATAAACAATCAGAAACTTTAAGCAGCTCTGCTTTCCTTGTGCTTGTACTGCCGCCATCTTTGCTTTGTGTTACAAGAATCACCAATCTAGTCTTACCCTTTAGGCTCAGTCCTACAAGACTGCTTGAAAAACTGATATTTAGCATTAAAATTAAGAAAAAAAACCAGAAGACATGAGGAAAACAAATCTGCAAAAGCTCAATTAAATTGCAGTACAGTTTAATTTAGCCACTTCTATATTTAAAATGACCAAATATGATGAAGTCCTACAACTTTCATTAATTGTGGATAATATAATATGATAAGGGCAGCACAAGCTGCTAGTTCAAAAACAAGTAATTTCACCTTTAAGGGTCTGCTTTACGTTTGGATCCAAATGGAAATACTAACTAGTCTTTAAACATCACAAAAAAATAAATAAATAGGCAAAAAAAATAATAAATAAAAATACAAACAATCCAGACAGCAGAAAAAAACATCAGTATTCTTCACAAGCAGAGTCTAATTTAAAAGGTAAAGTGGAGGATCTTCTTTTTCCAGGTGGATCAACAAAATAAGTGATGTTTACATAAGGCTGTCCTATGTGCTCATCCCCATTTTAACTTACCTGTGGCGAGTCTGACATAGTGAAAAAAAAAACAAAAAAACTTTTGGAAAGTAAGCTTGCTTGAGCGCTGCAAACAGCAATGTTTAAACAGAGCGTGCATGAGGGGAAATGGGCTTGTGCACGCTCCCGCCCATGTTTGATAGGCGTTCCCTCTCGGGAAACATGTACAGGGTTGTACATTTGCATTTTCTTTTTTTGTAGAGAGTGAGTCTTCTCAAAAACTTGCAAAAATCCAAATCTAATAACCAATTAAATAACTTTGCTTTCATACCGTAAAAATTCCACTGGACTTTGTTTTCAAGATTTGAGGACGTCTTCAAATCTTGAAAACCAAGTCCAGTGGAATTTTTACAGAATGACTATGACCTCGATGACTGAGAACTTTCATCAGCATATTTGCTTTCATACCGAAAAACAACAGTAATTTAGGTTTTGCATAAACAAGAATACATTAGCCTCAAATTGCTTAGCAGATAGCGGTCATTAAACCTTGTGTTTTTTTTCCTTCCTCTCTTCTGGAACCTCACATTCAAATTTCACATGAAACATGTGTACTAAGGATATTTTCTTTTATCTAAACTGCTTTGTCAACATAAGACAATCTTAACAGTCAATGCAAGCGATGCATGTTTATTTAGCTTTTTAAAGCATACCTTTTCATTGTAAATTTCCATATAAGACATGCCAACGCTGTAGTTCCATCCGTCATCTTGGGCTTTGTCTTTGGCCCTGACCAGGTTAAAAACCTCTCGCACAGCTCGGGGGATCACACCTGGCTGCTCCCCAGTTCCCAACATAGTGTGGGTCTTACCTAGTGAAGAACTTAAAGTAAGGAAAAACCAACTGGGAACAAAAAAACACTCAGCAAGGCAAATCTATAGAAATCTTGGAGCCTTTTGGCTAAACTCACATATCGATTTATATTGTTCAAACATCAACCATAAAACTGTTAGATTCAACATACCAGCCCCTGTTGGCCCATAAGCGAACACGCTGGCATTTTGTCCGTTTAAAATGTGCGGCAGAATGGGCTTCACTGAAGTGAGGAAAACCTCTTGCTGTGTGGTTTGCTCCCCATGAAAGACATCAAAACTAAAGATAGAAACAAACCAGATTAGTGCTCATTTGTCATATTAATATAATCAAAAAAATATGCCCAACCTCCCACTTAATTTTTCTTTTCTTTAAAACAGTCAGGTTATGTCTGATATTAAATGTGTTTGCATTGATTATTAAAAATTTCAGATGCATACTAGGGGTAGGCATTTATTGTTTATCATTATTGTGATAAATTTGTTGCCAAGATAGAATTTTGACTTCTTGTAAACTGAACATCATTGATCTCTCAATGGTGAAATTCACTCTCTGAATCTTAACCCATCCCCCTGGGGAGCAGTGGGCTGCCATTGTGCATTAAGGGTCTTGCACAGGAACCCAGAGTGTAGGCTGTGGGGATCGAACTGGATACTAGGAACCTTCTCAGACCACTAATCCACCACACCCCTAAAAATAATTGAAATTATATATTAGAATAAGTGATTACAAAAAAATTAATTGTCAAAATATAAACCCTTCCCCTCTGTCTTTTTCCTTTTTTGTTTGTCTGCTGGGGGAAGAATAGGATTAAATGTGATAAAGTTATATGCTTAGTGCTATAAATCACATTTTTAATGTCATTGAGGTCCCAAAGAAGTTCTCAAATCTGTATAGTTGTAAGTAGTAGTATTTGAGGAGTTATAATTGCTTTGGCAGACGGCACAGCCATGGTTACCTGAGAAAGACTAAAGACATTGTTACTTTTTAAATCCTCCTGCTTACCATAATAAGCATAGTAACACAAAAAATAAGAATTTAAGTCCACCATAACTGTAATATATATATATATATATTACAGTTATGGTGGACTTAAATTCTTATTTTTTGTGATTTTTCTTTTTCTTTTTGAGATAATCAATTTACAAAGGTGCTATAAAAAGCTGCGTAAACTGATACAGACAACGCCAAGGGTTGTAATCATTACAATCATACAACTAAACACTTAACATAATAAACAGTCAGTGGTTCTCAAATAAAACAGTTGTGCGCATATAAACACTTACTGGTACTTTACGGTCTCCATTGCGTTCCTCCAGTTGATTATCTCCAGGTTCTGGGAGTCCAGGCCTCGGACACACGGCTGCTCGCTTGGGTCATCCTGTCCGCACATGTAGGGACGGAGACGTACCGCTACACGAACCCTGGAGGTTTTCTTGCTCCCCCCGTCTGATCCAGCCACGCGTTGCGCCATCTTTGAAGCTTCCCCAAAACAAAGGCCTGCGTGACATCAAGAGATCGGCGGATTATATACGTTTCCTTCGTGTTGCAAGTTAAAAACAACATACGTGTACGTCAATACTTCGTTTGGAACCGAACGTCAATCGTCTAAAAACGTTACTAATATGATAGGCTAATAACAGGAAGATGGTTCGACGTTAGCTTGAAAGCTAAATTTAACTTAGGCTGTAGTTTATCTCCCTGTTTTCGGTTAAATAAAGTAGAATGATGCGAAGGTTTTTCTGATGCTCACCGATATTACTGCATTGGCTCTAAGTCTTAATCGTGCGCTATTGTCCAAACTCCAGTTTGAACAATAATCACAAGACCCTTTATCAACTGTGACCGTCGTTGTCTCGCCCTCTTCCCGAACGCCTTTTCAAACTATGAGACCGGAAGTGTCCAACTACCAATCAGAATTCACAAACGCTTCCGCTTTATTCCGGCTTTATTAAATTGAACTGATCGAAAAATATGCATTTTCTAAGTGATAAAAAATTAACTAATTATACACATATTTTTAGAATAAACATAACAAGTAAAATAAGTAGATTTTTATTTGCCCGCGCCATTTTTGCTTACGACAGAGGAAGTGACGTCCAACCCAGATCTCCATCGAAATGCCTTTAAGATTTCACAACCGGTTTATTGAATGAGCGGACCATCCATATATTTGTTCTATCAGTGGGGTTACTGCGTCCAACGGAACGACGAAACTCGTCACAGACGGTGACCTCCAGCCAAAATGGCGCTATGTTTACGTCTCTTTTTAATCCTTTATTGCACTTAAAAAAAGGGATTCATGGCGAGATGCGATAACTGTATCGCTTGGAAAACGGCGACCCGTTTAAGCACAATTTAACATATCCATGAAATAACCCGTGATACAATTTAAAGGTATGGATCTTCTTTAATTGTTTATATCTAAAAAAAGAGCTTGTAGCCACAGGCTACACTGTAGCTAGCATTTGATGTGCAGGATTAGTCAATTTTGTGCTGAATGATAAAACAAGATAATCCGCAAAAGCTGCACAAGCATTTGGAAGTAAACGTAAAGTCTCACAGTGTTGCTGTTATTTTCTACTTTAATTGCACTAATCAATTATTCTTACAGCAGATCTTTGAACTTCCCGCTGCAGCTGTTAAGATGCAGGCTGAAGCTACAGACTCTGCCCTTAGAGAGGGCATTGAGGCCATGGGCATGAAGGACTCTGAGAAACCAGCTGCAGGCAAAGAGGAGGAGAGCAAAGTGGAACAACAGGACACAGAGATGACAGCTGCAGCAGAGGAGGAAGACTCTGCAGCTAAGGATGAAGAACAAGGTAACTCATTTAAAACCAGCAAACAGCACCTGCTAATCTATTGACTTGCAAAATGATTAATTTTGTTCCATCATTCTCCAAAAATATTTGGGTTCCTTATGTGATACCCCCCCTCAAAATGTAAATAAATAAATAAACCATAGATCCTGAAACTCTGACATGCAATTATATTTAAATCCCATCTGTTCATTGTAACAGATGTTCCCTACTTAAATGCTGCATAACTGGTTTAAATAAGGAAGGTATAAACACACGTATGCAAGATTTATTGATATGAGGAAGTGATGGCATCTTTTGATTCAGGAGACATTTAAAACATGCAGGGAGGAGAGTCTGCAGGATCTTGGACTTTAAACCCATGTTGAGGATTTTGTAGCCTTTATTCAATGACTCCCTGACATTATTTATCCTCCTATCAACTTTGATTGCTTTTACTGAGAGAGAGCGTTTCCAGTAAAATTTGCTGCCACTGCGTTTATATGATGGCAGTGTTGAGTTTCGTTCATTGTAACGTCTCTAATTAACAGTGTATTTGTGTTGATCAAAAATATGCTATAGCTTCACCTCAGCAGGATACTATACTGTATCATGTTTACTTTTTCACCTAATCTGTTGAAGACTTTGGCTTTCTTTGCAGAGTGTATGGCTAATTGTTGTCTTTTCAAAAGATTCTTCCATTCGGGGTGTGCATCTATGCAACTCCTCTGGTTAAGAGTCATCTTTCCTGTCCTGTCATTTTTTAAATGGTTGACCACATCTTGCAGAGTTTCCGCGGATCATTAAAAATCATTAAATTATAAATTTTTTTAAATTAAGGCCTTAATTGGCATTAAAATTCATTACGTTTGATAATGGTGGCATTAAACTGGCTTCGGAAAAGAAGCTTGAGGCGGAGAAAAGGCTAGAGAATGGGAAAAATGCAAATTTGAACCAAAGTGGCGGGAAAACGAACTCGGGACATGGCTGCAGCCTGTCCACGGTGAAGCTGACGAAGGATTTTGCCGTGTACATATATATATCATGGTACTTGTTTATGGCATTAAGATTATTTCTAAGAGCATTAAATAAGAGTTACTCATTCATGTATAAACCCTGTCTTGGTAGTTGGTCCATCTTGTTTAGGAGCCTAATAAACTTCTCCACAACTTGCTGTCTGCTGTCCCCCTTGGTCGTCGTGATGCTGATCGTTCTCAGATGTCTCTCAGCTCAGCTGGTTGCACTGGATCTATGAGTATCAAGAGTTAAAGGGGATGAATATAAATATTGGATTTCAGATTGTTTTGTTAGAATAATGTTTAGAAAACCTGAAATCTTTTTTTAATTTGTGTCTGGGGATCACATAAAATGAAATCAAAGTTGATAATTAGTCAGATGATTAACAGCCTATTTTAATGTGAGTCAACTACTCATTTATGCAATGGCTGGAATTGGAGAGTGTTGTTCTACTGGTTGGAGCAGCGCGCTTGTGCGTTAAGAAGGTTGCAAGCCAACTGCTCCCCAAGGGGATGGGTTAAAATACAGAGAGTGATTGTACCCATTGGGGGACAATAAAGGGATTTACATTACAAATAAAAAAGAGACATGTTGTGTGTAAAAGCTAAAACTCCTATTTTTATTTTTATCTTTTGCTAAGATGAAAACACAGATGCATCCAAAGGAGAGACGCAGAATGGCGAAAGTCAAGCAGAACCCGGAGGGAACGCTGAAGAGGGGAAACAGGCTGCGGTGGCAGACGACGATTGGGAGCTTCCGTACAGCGACGAGGAAATGGAGGACCCCAAAAACTGGATGCCTGCTCCGGCTGAGATCAAAAGACTCTACGAGGTCCTTGCAAAAGGGGAAATGCTGGAGCTGAACTTTGTGCCCCTCCCCAGAAGGCCACCAACGCCAGAACGCACCCCTTCGCCTGAGAGGGACGAGGAGGAAGAAGCAGCAAAGGAAAGGGAGAGGCTGGAGAGGGAGCGCAAGTTAGTACAGCTTTTAATCCACTTCTCAAAAGAGAGTATTTTGTTTTAATTTAGGAAGTCCCTTTACATACACTACGCAACAGGAAGGCAGAATCTGATACCCAGGTACAGGTACTGAACCCTGGGTCACGTGCATTCTGGTTACACGAGCGCAGATATTTCGCCTGCTGCATATAAACAGCTTTATTTGATTTTTCTTAGGCCTCCAACTCCAACAGAGTTTGACTTTGATGAGGAGCAAATGCAAAGCACCCCGAAAAACGCCTTCCTCAACAGACGCAGAACACCAGGTGAGATGAGTGGCACCGACTAATGCTTCAGCAAAACGGAACAGAAAATCTGGTCGATTGATAAAACCAGCAGTTTTCTCCTCTCTTAGGGTCTTCCGCCCGCTCCTCCGTGAAGCGAGAAGCCCGTCTGGACAAAGTGCTGTCGGACATGAAGCGGCACCGGAAAATCGAGGAGCACATCCTGCGTACGGGGCGGGACCTCTTCAGGAGCGAGAAGAAACTGGAAGAGGCCCTTTCCCCGAACAGCCAGAAGGAGCGTGAGAAGGAGAGGGAAAGGGACAGCAACCCCAATACCATCTTCTCTCCGAGGCAAAGGAGATACTGAAATATTCCCTAATGAGGACATGTTCAGAGAGAGAAGAGCTGTTCTCAGAAAACCCAGACATTTCTAATGTGAAACGTTTTGTATGCTTTTGTTTTGTATGACGAGAATAAACATTTTAAAGTAACATTTTTCTGGGTTACTACAAACAGAAAGACTTTCAATTAAAATTGTTTTTTCACTTAATGAAATGCTGTGTTTTATCATTTTGGATTTAAAGGGGATCTTTGTGTAGAAAACTCACTCAAGTGTAGCACTACTTCATTTTTTTATCCCCAAGTACTGAGTAACAGATGTTTTAAATACAACAGCTGGAATAAAACTTATAAACAAATGATTAGTTTAAACTTAGGAAGCTTGTTATACGTTTGAAAAACTCCCACTTTTATACAAATGTGAATCTGATTCATTTTTGGTTAAAATAATCTTGTTCCTCATTTAGTGAAGTTACTCGATATTTAATTAAGAGTAGTGAAACTACTCATATTAGTCAAGTGTAAATGTTCCTACTTTGGAACTGGCTCCTACCTACCTCTGCCAGGACTCCTACAGGTTTATGGGTAGGAATAAGAGCAGCTAACATCCCTGCAGATCCCCCGTTAGACATCCTGAATGCAAACTATTCAGACCTTTACCATCAGCTAAGTGCTACACATTGTTGGGGCTCCATACCAGATGTAACTGGTCATGGATGTTGGAAAAGATGCGGGTTTGGGATCATCAAGTTGTTTTTTTTCCTGGTAAATCTGAAAAGTACAGAACATACAGAAAATGATTAGGAACAATGGAAAAGATTTTAAGAACTTTGCTTTTTGTTATTATAGTTCATTCTGTCTGTAATCTTAGAATTCTGAGAAAATAAAAATCAGAATTGTGAGATTTAAGTCAAAATTCTACAAAAAAAAAGTCTAATTCTGAGAATTAAAGTCAGAATTTGGAGAATAAAGTTAGAATTAATGGATTAAAGTCCAAATTCTGAAACTTTCCTATATCAAACTAAGCTAAAATAAAAAAATCTGTTAACCTTAAAAAAATTTCCCAGTAGTCCTTACCCTCTTCCGTAGAAAAGGGCTTTTTTATTTATTTATTTTTTAATTACTTAATTTTTTTTTTTAGGGTCGGAAGAGAAGCAATTTATTCGAACAAAATTTTTCTCTAGTTAAATAAGCCGTACATCAAAGTTAATCCATGATTTAAGATTGTTTGGGTTCTTTCACATAGATTCAGGTTTGTTTGGATAGACCGCCTTTTGTTTTTAATCAGATTATCTCAGTATAAACGTTGATGATCTACAGCAATACATTAATAGTAAAAAATAAAAGCTCAAACTAAAAGGAAATTTGCAAGGGCGCTAAAGTTATATATACAGTATGTTAGATTACTCAAACTTTAGCTCCCCCTACTAGTTGAGCCAATTATACACTGATGAACATTTCAGTAACTTAGCAGAGATTAATTATTCTAAGGAACACCAAAACTGCAAAAAAACAAAAAGGAAAGAAGAAACAACTCAAGAGAGAATCAGGACAGCGAAGTATATTTAGCTAGTCTGAGTAACAATACAGCCTTCACCTAAGGCTTAGAAGCATAGAGTATATGTATGCATAAATATGCATTCAAATCCACAAACCAAATAAATAAATAAATAATTACTTACAAATAAATAACAAGCATTTGTGGAATATACAGTACAGCAGTTGAAATGTTCCAGTATTGTCAAGAAGCAGTACCTCATGGATCCACAGAACGAGGGAATGGATATTCAGTGTTCGACATGCCTACACGTGTCCAAATGCTTGGGCACACGCTATCCTGTCCTTATGGTCTCTGATTTGGTTTTTCAATTTTCCTTTTTTAATTATTATTTATTTAGACCTATATCACAGGAAACTGCAGTTGCATTAAAGCAACATCTATTAGAACAAGCCAGTTTGTTCATAGGTGGTTCATGGAACCAGTGGCTCACTGATTGGGGCTTTTTCCCCCCGCTAAATCTAAAACTTAAAATAAATTAAAAAAAACAGCTAAAACAGAAATAAGGACAAAATGTGCAGCAAGTCAGTCATGAGGGAGTGCTTCCTGTAAGGCAACTCTCCGCTCATTTCCCTTCAAACAAACCATGTAAAGCCTCCTGACAAAAATAAAAACTGAAACATTGTGAATCCATTTGTGAAATAGTCCTGCAAAGCAAACGGATAAGTTAAGATCCACATCAGCACCAGACGTTTTAAACAAAAGAGAAGGTGGGGGTGTGTATTTAGAGAAGGTGATACCAGTGAACGGAATGACATTAAAACTACACTGAAACAAGAAGCACAGCTAAAACCTTTCTAGGGAAGTTTGTGTAGATTAAGCTGTAAACCCAACTGCTTGATGGTTATTGATAGAGAAAACTGTATAATAACTGATGCAAACATGTCAATGGGTGTGTTATGGGTCAAATGGAATAAAGATTAATACTCAGATTGTGATAAATTGAGGCTAAAGATAAAAAACCACGAAAGAAGGACTTAAATTTGGGGCCCAACTCCAGCTAAACTAACTCCACTTTTATTATTCTAACATTTCCGGAATTGTTGAACTAGTATAATTTACATAATAATAATCTTTTTATGACTCATATTTTCTATTTCATAGTATTTTTTTTTTCTGAGCAGAACTCCTATTCCATTTTCCCATCACAGCAGCCCCAATTAGTCAAAATAAAAAATAAAACCAAACAATACTGACATGGAAAAGACAATTTTACATCTGCTATGTACAACCGTCACATTTTGCCATCTGACGAAAGCCTTTTGTTCCATCTCACATTCTAAACTAAAAAATGCAAAGTAACCTAGAAGAGTTGGGAAAGGGGGTAAGGCAGCAGAATACAGTATAATGACAGTATCTCCCTCCTAAAGATGAGTCAGTCTGCAGGTCGGTTACATTTTGTTAGAGTGACAGTGTCTACATAGAGGATACAGATAAACACTAACAAGTCAAAATACTGCTTAGCTGAGTTATTTTTTTTTTTTTACCTTTTTTTTTCTTTTCTCTGAAGGTCTTCTTCATTACTAAACTGAATCAGGCCTTTCATCTACAGCAAACATACTAACATACAATATAATACATTCCTATTTTCCTCCTCTTCCTGTAATACGAGGCAGCGAGGACTGTGTTTGATCTACATGAGGGGAATTGGCCACCTACGCTTGCTAAAGTTCCTCTCTGGTCAGTGCAGGTTCCTGTCAGTCACAGTGCCTGATGACATCTTAAATACTGAGTGCCCTAAAGCTCCATTTGGTTCCTACAAACAACCAAGCTGAAGTACTTGAAGGTTCCGCCATGAATCCCTTTACTTGTCTGCTGGCTCCAAACACTTCAGCGTGATTTGAGGTCATGATCTCAACTTGTAAGTCTTACTCTTTGCCTTCGTTCCCGTTACATACTCATTGGTACATTCGCCTTCCTTCCCTCTTCTCCCCCCTTCCCTCCCCCCAGCGTGGCCCCTCTCAGTGAGTGGTCAGCTCGGGCTCTGTGGAGCGCGTGCTGTAGCCGTTAGCGGGCTGCGGCAGAGCGTTGCCGTCCGTCGGGTGCTCCTTGGTATCGGCTGTGGGCGGGCGCGGCCTCTGGGAGCGGGAGGTGCCGGTGAATAATCGCAGGGCGCCCCTGCAGATGAGGGAGAACCAGTAGAGCTGGGGTGCCATTAGCAGGGCAGCGCCAAGGTTACAGTGCCAAGGTACTGTGAAGGGAACCATGAGGAAGGGGATGGATGCATACCTGCATCAAAACAGAAGAAACAGAAAAAGGAACATTTAGTCTGAGCTTTATTCTATCTGATGCTGTCAGAAGTGAAGGAGTTCCCTGAACTCGTCATGGCCATGAATGTCAATCACTTCTGGCTTTCAAGCCATTTTAAAACAATAAATAGATGTGCAACTTTTCATTTGTTGTGGCTTTTTTACTTTTCTGAATTGAAGTTTCTAAACGTTCCCTGAAGTTTTTATGTGACATTATTGTTATTAGAGTTCAAATCATTGGCAGAGGTGGATTTTATAATTGAATCTACTTTTACTCCAAGTCTTGAAACAACACAGTGCTGAAAGCTGAATTTGAATGGGTTGAACAGAACTTTTACCCTCAACTTCTGGATGCTTCTTTCACTAAATCTGTACCATCTGAAAAAATCTGGACTGGTCTTTTATTTGACAAGGTTTATCACTGAGACCCTTGGGTGTGCTTTACAGGAGGAAGTAATGGGAGCTAAAAAATATTAAAAATTAGAAGAAAAAAAAATGCTAAAAACAAACAACAAAAAACGTAGTTGTTGTGGGCTAGACTAAATGCCAATCTAAAAAAGTTATTTAAAAAAATCCTCTTTTTTATTTCCTCCAGAAATTCATATATTAATCCTCTATATAACACAATGAAACACAAAGTCTTAAAACTCCAACATTTTCTTTCAATTTCTTACCAACTTTTAAAAAGATAAAATCAAATTCCAGACCTTTCCATGCTGAACCCTCAGAGCTGACCCATATATAATCACATTTTCTAACATCTTAATAACCACTTTCTCTGGCCTTCAGTGCATAATTCTGGCTAACAGGAAGTTTAACTACTTTTTTTTTTAGAGAAAAATAGAGCTTATTAATACCGACTTGTTTCCTCACATGTAAGCAACGTCTCAAAATTCCTGAAGCTTGATTTGCTGTACCAAATACAAACCCATGGCTTCATCGCCATGTTGGTTAACCCAAAATGCGCAATGCGCCAAGTTGCATACCTCTGACCAAAATGAAAGGATGTTGGTCAGGAAGATAAATCCCTGAAACTTCAAATTCCACATCCAGATGCTTAATCTTAATGATGGGGAAAAAAATCCAAAAAGTTAAAATTAGATATTTTTATTAACTTATTATGGTTCTGTGGGTCAGTTGCAGCCTGTGATACTGATATATGGCTGAGTTTCCAATTGCCTGTTTTCCTCATGGATGACACAGAGAAGCTGTTCCAGGAGCATCACATCCAGGAACATGCATCTCAACTGTGACAGAAATTTGTAAATTTAATAAAATCATTTTATCAAACACTTTTAATTAACAGTTTGATAAGAAAAGGGATGAAATATGCAGCCAAAGTCAAAACCAAAGCTTTTCTACATCTACAGAAAGACGGTTAAGGTAGCCAAAGGTGAAACTGATAAAAACATAACTTCTGTATCTGTACGTATTTGTGGTTTAATATACAATTTTAAATGTGTATTAAAATATATCAATATTCCAATGTGTTGCATCCAATTTGGTTTTCAAAAGCAAATGTGGAAAACTATTCTACCCCAAACAAAAGACACTTTTAAATAAATCATTAAAAATGAATGACATTCTGACCCATAATGAGTCTAAGTGCCTTTCTGATTCATTCTGTGCAGGTTAGTGACCCCCAGCTCAAACAGCTGAACGGAGATGGAAAGAAAAGACGTACCTTCCATAGACGTAGTAGAGGTAAGGGAAGAGGAGGACCCGAAAGATGAAAAAAGTGACCAGCATAAGAGCCCCATTCACTTTGTGCAGCAGAGTGTGTTGCTGTTTGTACTGAGAGTGAAAAAAAGAGAGGGAGAAAAGGAAACGCAAGAGGTACAAGCCAACAATGTTAATATTCTTCAAGTTATAAAAGGTCATTCTAACACTGTTAGATTTGATGCTAAATGCTCTGATTGATTGAGGGATGACAGGAGACCACAGGGATGATATATATTTCTGGTCAAATGTTTGCTTTCTAAAGGATGCAGGCAGAGTTTTCATAACTAATTTCATCCTAATTTGGCTAAATGTAGGTGTTTTCAGACCAATAAGAACTGCAGGCTCTTAAAAGCTGATCTTTTTTCTTTGTTTTGCTTTTGCACTGCTTGAGGACCACAATGGTTTTACAACTGCAGATATTCAGCTTACAAATATGCCACTAAACTGAAAAGTTATGCCATCAGGATTGTAGGACTAAATTTATGGCTAAATTCATTTGGGTTTTTTAAGGTTTTTAATTTGTCAAATTAAATTTTTTTTAGGGTACAATACCTTAGTTCTGTTTAGTGTTTTTTGAATGGTTTTATAATAGAAGTGTGTCAGTGGGATGTGGTTCCCTTGAAAGAACCAATCCCAGGTTTAAACTGACCCAGAAGTTAGTTATTTTCAGGTGCTGCTGTGGAACATTTGATAAAAAATTTTTTTTAAAAATCAGGTGGCAAACTGCTGATTTAATGTTTAAAGAGAGACTGTGATCTATTTGAAAATATCAATATATTTTAAAATCAGATTACACGACATATTTTATTTTTTCAAAGAGAATAAAATAAAAATAAACAAAATCAGATTTTGTAAAGCATAGTCCTGTTGGGTATATAGAATAACAGTGATGTCCGCTGCCTCAACGTTTCAGGTAGAAATGTACAAAGTTAGTTTAGTCAAACCGTTAATGTATATAATAATGGCTTGCACAGAACAGCTGTTTGACCTAAAGAGGGTCTTTTTCTAAAACGGTACCTTACAATTGTTGCCAGATAGGCTACAAGTTACCTAACTTACCAATCTGAGGACTAACAAGGTCAGAGCATCTTAAAAGCTCAACCTTTAAAACATCTAAAACTAAGTAATACCCAATCAAAATTAAAGTTGTCAAAGTTATAAATTTCTTTAAGTACATGAACACATTTTCTGCCCAAAATATTAATCACCTGGTTTTTCATTTTCTCAAAAGCCTGATGGATGTTGATTTTGCTTTGATCCAAAGGTCACACATACACACATATATATTTATATAAATATATACACAGACCCTCAAATGGGAAAGAGTCATTTGATGCATGAAAGAATTCGAAGGATGTAACTGAAGAAAGTCTCTCTTTAGTCTAAATACAAGTTAAAGAAAAAATAAAGAACATGATATTTAACTACCATTTTTATTTGTTTTATTCAGAGCCTGAAGCTATTTTATTCGATCTAATTCACATTGGTTATTGTTGCTTTTTCTCCCCCCATCACCCAAAGACTTGCTTCCTAAACTCCAAATCAAAACCTGAAAAGAACCAAATGAAAGCAGTTATAAAATCTCTGAATGGTCAAATATCTGCAGTGCAATAAAACAAAGAAAAAGACAAATTTATGTGTCTTGTTAAGTGTGGTCTGAAGGCACCTAGGGCATGTTGTGAAAGCCTAGGTCTAATCCTCTGAGGCAAACAGTTACCAGGTTTGAGCTAATCTCCTAACATACATTAAAAGCAATGCAGACACAAAAAAACTAACCTGAATAGATGCAGTTGTGTTGCAAATCATACAATGTTTATCCAAGCACACTGTCAGCAATTAAAGAGGGATATTTTACATTTTATCATCTGACAGAGGCCTACTGGAGTGAACAAGCTGCATTCTGGGGATGACCGGAAATATACTCTCTCCAATAAATTAAAAAGGAAAAGAAATTTTAAAAAAGGGTAAATTAATATGTTTAGTCGGAGACATGCACATGCGAAAATGAAAGGCGCCTAAACACTTACCTGGATCAGGATTTTCCCTAAGCAGACGGATGGAGTGCTGAGCTCAGCCATGAACATTATGCCCTGGAAATAGTCTCCCTTTCCTTGTCTCCAAAACTGGAATAAACAAAAAAAAAAATTCAAAATAAATTAAATTTCTTTCTCTAAAAATATTTCACAGTAACTACAGTGAAGGAAATTAGGTGACTGTCCCTTTCTATAACCATCAGCAGCTACATTTCCTTCCACATTTCAGCACAACAAGAGCAAAACGTAAGTTACCACAGACACGGGGAAGCAGACGGTGACCATGACAACATGGTGCAGCACCATGAGGAACTCGCGGCGCAAGTAGCTCCTCACTGCTGATCTCATGTGTTGGGGGGCTGCCGACGCCTCTTCGTGTCCTTTGACCCGCAGCTTGTACCAGTAGCACATAAACATGGCATAGATGTCGTACACAAAGTAGGGGACAGCAAACATGATGTAGGTGCTTGTCAGCCAGTGCCTGTGCAAAAAGGAGGAGATAAAGGATTTTAATAAAGGCAGCAAATCATTTAAGGTCATGATAGACCAAAAGCTAGAAGCATACTATTACAGTTCAGAGCGAATATTACAAATTAGTCCAGCTTACTATTTTTTATTGATGAAATTAGAATGGCTGGCTAAATAAAGCAGCTATACCACTTACTGGTCCTCAATAATGTCCTCACAGGAAGACGCAATGATGTAACCAGCTGAAGAAGCCATAACAGCCTGAATGGATGATACCAACCTGTGTGATCGAACAGCAAGACAATCATTAATAAAGTATAGACTGCATCGTCAACTAAAGCCATTTTCTCTTTTCATAATGTCATAACCAAACACTTTAATATATCATTTTAAATTTAATACTTTTTAAAATCTTGTCACTTTTTAAATCACAGGTTCCATTCAGATATGTGGTCTGCAACTATTACAATCAAAATGTCTATTTTTCCTCAGCCCTCTTATACAAGTATACCTGATTCCACAAAATCTCCATTACCCTTTGACATAAAATGTTGTAAAAGCATTTAATAATCAAGGCTGAGTGTATCCTGA